AGGTGCAGAGTCAGGCTCTTGGGACACAGCCGTGACCAAGACATCTGGGCAGTGTGTAGACCTCAGTCTGTGAGTCCCGATAACACACCCAGGGGAGTGGCCATGTGGATGTGCTCCAGGGAGGGGATCCGGCTTGGGAAGAGACGTCTGAGCCGTGATCATTGGATCAGCGTAGAGTTTCTTGGGGATCAGCCGCCCTCCCCACCCGCACTGCGACCGTGATCATTTGGGCCTGAGCACTTGACCCCTCCTGGTTGCACCTCTGCCTCAGCACGAGGAGGACTGACTGCCATTCATTCGTTCATTCATTCACACATTCAGGAACCGTTTATGAAATGCCTGCTACATGGCAGCAGATTCAACAAATAGAGCTCTTGCCCTCCCAGAGCTCATAGTTGGCGGGGGAGAGAGGGAAACAACCAGAAAGTGAGAAGTGTATCTGTTACAGATGCCGTGATGCGCCAGGCCCTCATGCCACGCACAGCAGACACCCAGTCTTCCCCAGTGGGGGTCAGTGAGGGCAGGCAGTGGGGAGCTGACCCTTGAGGTGTGTCTTAAAAGATGAACAGGTGTTTGTCAAGTGGATGGAGGCCCACAGGTCAGCAGGTCAGGCTGAGTCACACCTGGCTTGGTAGATTACCAGTTATTTTTCTATGATGCCAAAAGAAATCAGGTCAATTTGTAATCTGTGAAGTGGGCCTTGGACCTTGGACCTTGGTTCTAACAGGGCTGGAAGGAAGGTCAGAGAGGGGAGCATTAACTCTCTGCACCTATTTCGAGGCCTCTGCCCAGATGGAGGATCTGGCTCCAGCAGAGCCACCCTGCCTGCTCTATGAAGCAGGCGGCGACTTGGGACAGCCCAGCGAAGTTGCTGCTCCATGCCCATGGGCCTGGGGGACACGCGAGGCAGCTGTCGCTCTGGCCAGGAGACACCCCAGTTCAGCTGTTGGAGCCCTGCTTCCAAGGGGGGGCCTGGGCGTACCTCCCTCTGCAGAGACAACAGCTTCCTGGCCAGGACTCCGCCATCCCTCCCTGGTTGGCCACAGGGCTGGTGGCCTGCATGGCCACGGGGCTGGTGGCCTGGTGCTCACCGGAGGCAGGCGATCCTCTCATGCCTTCTTCTAACTCTGAGGGCACACCCCTGATTGTTCCCACCGCTGAGACATCCCCACTCCCCTCTGACTGCTAACTGCCGGGAACCAGATTCCTCTTGCCCTTGAGCTTGGGGATGGTTTTTCTAGCGTATCTAACGAGCTGCAGCTGGTGATAGTGTCTCCCCGGGAGCCATGGAAAAGACATTATCCTCAGGGATGTTCAAAAACAGGCTGAAGGAAGAGCTCATGGGGTCTGGGGGTGGAAGAGGTAATGAAGGGGAAGGGAAGGAAGGGAAGGAAGAACACTGAATGAACAAGCGCTTAGCCGAGTGATGCCAAAAGTCAGAGAGAGCATGGGAGGGCTTTCCTGCCGGTGGGGGTAAACTGAGGCTCCCCCACCTGAACTTTCCCTTCATCCAGCGGGGCTCAGCTCTCCCAGTGCCAGGACCCAAAGCCAGGGTTAGGGCAAGGCCAGGAACAAGGCTGGAGTCAAGCTTGCACCAAACCACATGGTCCTTTATTTTTTATGCTACAGACCCCTTTGGAAGTCTGTAGCCTTTGGACACATTCTCAGCAAAATGTGTCTAAATGCATAAAATTCAGTCGATAGGGTTAGGGAAGAAACCAGCTCTACTGAAATGTAGCTATTTATATACTTCTAAAAAATCAATTTAAGATTTAGTCACCTGTGTGCCTCTCCATCAACATGTAAAATAACGAAATCTAGTGGCAGGGCTAATCCCATGATTTCACAGTAGCAATGAACAGAAGCCATATTTCAAGAATAACAGCTTTCAAGTGTTACGAAAATATCTGTGATCTCTGCTGGAGGTAAACTCACAGGTGCTCCCCATACTGCGGTGGCTGCTGGCACGCACTCATAACTGACAGAAATACTACATTTCAGTTAGTGAAAATAAAGAAGGGTGGTTTTTTTTTTTCCTACCTGAGTTCGTAAACCTCAATGTCTTGTTCATTTATAAAGCCCTTATGTGGACATCGTTTTCTTTTTTTTTTTTTTTTAAAGATTTTATTTATTTATTTGAGAGAGAGAATGAGATAGAGAGAGAGCATGACAGGGGGGAGGGTCAGAGGGAGAAGCAGACTCCCTGCTGAGCAGGGAGCCCGATGCGGGACTCGATCCTGGGACTCCAGGATCATGACCTGAGCCGAAGGCAGAGGCTTAACCAACTGAGCCACCCAGGCGCCCTGGACATCGTTTTCTGATCTTCACAGTACTGGGAAGTAGGTACCCTTATTACCCCAGCTTACAGACAGGGAGACTGAGGCTTGGAGCAGTGAAGGTGGCTTGGACACAGGCAGCATCTGGCGGGGACGGAAAGGCAGAGGAATTGAACCTAGGTTTACTCTGCTAAAGTCTGTGCTCTGCCCCCAACACCGCCGGCCTCGTCTGAGCTGGGGACCGGCAGAGGGCAGGGCGCGCACGCCCCTCGTGGCGCTGTACCCCGGCTTGCAGCCGTGCCCTTGCTCCGCAGGCCGGTCCTTGCTTGTCTCGCTGTTGTCCTTTCCCTCCTGAACGTGTGCCCCGGCCCCCAGCACCGCAGCACGGCGCCCCCCCGCGGCGGCCGGCCCCCTGCACACTCCCACCTGTGTGTGGCCGGGCGGGGTGGCTCGGAAGGCAGGCCCGGCGTCGGGCCGCAGACCGCAGACCAGCCCAGCGCCCGCCGCCGCTCGCTCCCTCCGCACCCACGCGTGCGCGCATCCGTGGAGAAATGCCACGGCACTTTGCACAAGTGTGACAGAAACCGTGGGCAGAGGTGCTGGGGAGCAAGTCAAGTCCACCGGGTAGAATGAGCTGGGAAGGCTTCCTGCAGAAAGTGAGTTTTGAGCTAGACTTTTCCCCCAACTTTTAAATTATGAAAATGCTCCAAGATGCAGGAGAGTTGGAAGACGAGTGCCCTAAACACCCATAAAATCGCCCTGGAGAAAACCACCGTGAAAACCTTGCCCTAGTTGCCCTCTCCCTGTGTGTGTGTGTGTGACATTTTTCTGAACAACTGGAATGGAGGACATTGCCGACATGGTGATATTTCAGCCACGAACACTTCAACATGGCCCCCTAAGTTGGGCCATTTGTCCCTACGTCCCCATAACCATAACACCATTTTTATACCTAAGAAGATCGACACTCATTCCCTAACCTCCAGTTTATATTCCAATTTCCCCCAATGTCTTGTTTTATTTATTTATTTTTTTAAAAAATTTTTTAAAGATTTTATTTTTATTTATTAGAGAGAGAGAGAGACAGCTAGAGAGGGAACACAAGCAGGGGGAGTGGCAGAGGGAGAAGCAGGCTTCCCGCCGAGCAGAGAGCCCGATGCGGGGCTTGATCCCAGGACCCTGGGATCATGACCTGAGCCGAAGGCAGATGCTTAATGACTGAGCCACCCAGGCGCCCCTGTTTTATTTATTTTTTTAAAGATTTTATGTATTTATTTGTCAGAGAGGGAAAGAGAACACAAGCAGGGGGAGTGGCAGGCAGAGGGAGAAGCAGGCTCCCTGCTGAGCAGGGAGCCCAATGCGGGGCTCGATCCCAGGACCCCGGGATCATGACCCGAGCCGAGGGTAGATGCTTAACTGACTGAGCCACCCAGGCGCCCCGTCCTAATGCTTTTAAAACAAGAATTCAATCAATGTTTGTGCATTGGAGGCAGACTGTAGGTGCTGTTGACTGAATGGGAAGCAGGCGTACATCGTGGGAAGGTTCCAGAGTCACCATGGTGCTGCCAAGGCCCAGCAGTGAGCAGGAGTGTGAGGGGACCTGAAGCTTACACTGACGAATTTGGCTTTGTCACGGAGGGAGGGGGGTTAATCCAGATTTGGGGGGCGGGGAGGAGTTGAATCCAAATTGTGCCAAGTGCCTAGAGAAGACCACACTTGCTGTTCTGATGAGCCGTCTGGGTGTCTTTTGTGGACCCCGTTTGGCCATCACATTCTTCCCCAGACAGTCACAACACAGACTCACATGGGGTCTCGGCTGTGGGTCAGGCCCCGGGGATGCCATGGGCTAAGCCAATGACGTCTGGCGTCTGTGTGGCCGGCCCGCCTCTGTCCTGCTCTCCCTCCCTTTATCCCTCTTCCCCTCCTTTGCCCTTTTAAGAACTTAATCAGACCTGCTGCCTCCCAGACAGCAGCTGGCACCAGAGACAGAAACAGCTCCAGTAGAAACCTTGTCTCTGTCAAAGGCTCCAGCCCCGCTGAGGGCTGAGGGAGGACGGAGAAAATTCAGAACCTGCCCCCTGCCCTTAGGAGCCCCCGCCACCTGGGCCAGAGATGCCGAGAGCCCACAGAACCCAGGACTCAGGTAAGGCCACCCTGCCTAGCCCCTGCCATCTGCCATGGGCCAGCTCAGGTCAGGAGCACAGCCTTGAACCCAGGGGAGAGGGGCCCCGCCCCAAGTTGCTCTTTAGACCACACTTCGGCTTTCTTCTGGCCTCACCTCTCTGGGGCAAGGATCCTGGGGTTTAGGAAAACGTGCACACCCTGAGGTCACTTCGCCTCCAGATCAGGCCTTACATTCTAAGATCCACAATTCCTGGCCCAGACAGGCTCCCGCCCACTTCCAGAGCCTGAGCAAGCCTGCTCCATGGCCCAGGCTCCTCAGGGTGGGCGATGTCACCAACATCAACTGTCCCAGGTCTGAGCGTGGCAAAGAAGAGGTTGTTGGTAGGCGTGTGGACGTGCCTTGGATGTGAACGCTGGGGTGTCCCCACATGTTTGCCAGGCCCCTCGTGGTGTGAGAAGAGAAGGGGGACAGGCTGAGAGCCAGAGCTGCCTCAACACATGCCTCCATGTTCTAGCAAAGAAGTCTCTCCTGAGAGTCCAAGAATTCTCAGTTTGAATCTGAGCCTCCAAGTTGTTACGAAGGTACAGTTGACAAGGAAGGAAAAGCAAAACGTATTTTATTTAATAGTTTGTTAACCTAATTTGTAACTTACAAATATTTAGACACAGGGAATGTGAGGTTCTGTTCAAGGCACTGCCCTAGTGCCCTAGCAGACGCGCGGTGCCCTGACCGGGCCTGGAGTGGCTTTGCTGCCAACATGTGGAGGCCAGTTTGGTGTGGAGATAAAAGTTGTCTTCAGTGCCTCCCATCTTTCTTCTGTATTCCCCTGCCACAGGAGGACCCTCTATGGCTGAGCCATTCTCTTGCTGCCTCCTTCCAGCTCAAATGCAAATCCAGACGACGAAGAAAAAAAGCCCTTTGAGGGGGCCATGCTTGACCCAAGGATGAGTCCCTCCAAATGGATCTTAGGAAGCGTGAGAAGTTTTGGAGTGGGAAGGGACTCCCTAGGGAGAGTTCTAGCCTAGCTGTATACACACAGAGAGAGAGAGAGAGAGAGAGAGAGAGAGGGAATGAGGACTAAAGCACCACACGGCAACCCTGTCCATCACTCTGGGATTAATCCAAGTTGATTACTCTATTTACTTATGGACCTCCACTGCACACTTGCTGTAGGTCAGACCCTCTGCTGGGTGCTGGGTGCTGGGTAGGATGATGCCTAAGACCTGGTTTCTCACTTGGTCTGGAGAGGGTGATGGACATGCAGGCAGTCACGGTGCACTGGGGCTGTGCCAGGATGAGGTGAGCACAGAGCAGCCTGGAGCAGAGAGATGAGGCCCCGGAACCTGGTCAGGGAGGGTTTGGGCGTCATACAAGCAGAGTATGAGCTAAAAGCTGAAGTAGGATTTATTCAGTACAGTGCTGAAAGTGCTCGATGCATAAAGAAAAGGTGGTATATATATATATATACTTACTCACCTATAAGAAAGAGGGAAATCTTGCCATCTGCAGCAACGTGGATGGGCCTTGAGGGTACTATGTTAAGTGAAATAAGTCAGACAGAGAAAGACAAATACTGTATTATCTCACTTATATGTGGAACCTAAAACAAAACAAAAACAAAAAAACTGAGCTCATAGATAGAAAATAGACTGGTGGTTGCCAGAGGCAGCAGGTGGGAAGAGGGGTGACATGGGTGCAGGAGGGCCAAAGGTACAAACTTCCAGGTGTAAAATAAAGGAGTCCTGGGGATAGTTAATAACATTGTATTGTATGTTTGAAAGTTGGTAAGAGAGTAGACCTCTTAAAAATTCTCATCACAGAAAAAACAACTGTAACCATGTATGGGGATAGATATTAACTAGACTTATTGGGGTGATTTCACAATATATATGAATATCGAATCACTGTGTGTACACCTGAAACTACTATAATGTTACATGTCAGTTATACCTCAGTAAAAGAAAAGAAAAAGAGTGTTCTAGATATGTGCAAAGGCCTAAAAGCAAGAGAAAGCAGGGCACATTCTGGGAGAGAGGGAGTGTGCGAGTGTGTGTGTGTGTAGGACTGGAGGAAAGGGGAAGTTTGGTGAGACATGAAGCTGACGATATAAACAGGAGCCACATAATAAAGGGCCCTGAAGCCATATTAAGGGGTCTAAGGACATCAGGCACAACTGAAAGCCTTTAAATCGCCCAGGCTTAAACACAGGGCAATTTAAAGCCCTTCACAGGCCACAACACTTGGACTATTGGAGGCCCCACCCCCACATCACATCAAACATTGTCATAAAATGAATCCACATTACAATTATTTTTAAATAAAAATTTGAAAGGGGTTTTATAACTTTAATTTGGAATTATTAATTTATTAATTTCAATTTTTCAGATTTCCATTGATATTTTGAAGCCAGTGAAATTTGCAGGGGGTGGGAGCTATAGGGGTGACAGGCTCACAGCTCACAGACCCCATGCTCTATCTATGTTATGGTAGCTAATGAAAACAAAATGGTGACATGATCAGACTTATGATTTAGAAGGATCCCACTTTCAGGGCACCTGGATGGCTCAGTTGGTTAGCATCTGTCTCTTGATCTCAGCTCAGGATTTGATCTCAGGGTTGTGAGTTCAAGCCCCACACTGGGCTCCTGGCTTAGCATGGAGCCTACTTAAAAAAAAAAAAGAAAAGAAAAAGATCACGCTTTCTAAATCATTGAGTGGAAGCTGTTAACGGGTATGGGATTTCAACTTTGCAGGATGAAAAAGTGCCAGAGATCTGTTGCATAACAATGCGCTTATAGTTAACACTACTATTCTGTACGCTTAAAAATCTTTCAGATGGTAAATTTCATGTTATTTGCTTTTTTTTTTTTTTTTAAATCACAATAAAAGGAAAACAGAGTGAAGATTCGATCAGAAGGACCAGCCCTGGGTTGCCAGCTAGGAGCAGCTGTAATATATCTGGCAGATGGTCAAGACCGAAACTAAAGGAGGGACAGAGAATGGACAGAATTAGGAGAATTATAATATTTAAGTTTAGAAGAATCAATAGGAATTGGATGTACTGGGTCTGAGAGCGAGTCCCAGGAGGCAGACCGAGGCACGAGGCAGACCAGGGCAGGACCTAGACCAAAGATTGTGGCTTAATGGAACCCAAGGGAAGATTCTTTCCACAGGAGGGAATGGTCAGTGGGGTTGGGTTGGGAAGCCTCAGGTTAGTTGGGACATGTGCTGTCAGTAGGGGTGTGGCAGGGAGTGGAGGGTGTTTGGAGCGCAGAGGGTGTCTGAGGCAGGTTATATTCTTCCCAAGGCGTCATATCCCTCCCCGAGCCTCACTGGTCTCTTCCTCATTCATTCATCTTCCGGGCTGGTGAAACTCAAGGGACAGGTGCCCAGGATTGAGGGGCAGGTGCACTATGGCCTGGTGATGGTGGGGGGCATGTTGGGGTAGAGGGGTTGAGGGAGGTTAACCAAAGATGTCTTCCTGGGGAAGGAGGGCCTGAGCCAGGTTTGGAACCATCATAGGGTGAGGCTCAGGGGGGTAGAGAGGCGGGAACCATCCCCCACATGTCCTCATGACCCCACAGCTCAGCCAATATCTCATCCTCAGGAGTAGTCTCTGAGTGACGGGAGAGTGTGGAGCCATGGAGGCCAGAGGAGACTGTCTTTCCCGTGGCCGCTGACGAGTGCCCCCTCATTTGGGGGAGGTCAGATCTGTGGGGCTCGCTTTTTCACCATCATGCATGCATGCACGCATTCATCATTCATTCCTCTGTTCGTGCATTCACTCACTCCTTCGCTTGTTGGGCATTTATTAAGCACCACAGCAGTACTACCCAGCCCAGGGATGGAAGCATGAATAGGGCACAGTCCTCGCCCACATATGACACACAAGCTTCGGGGAGGTAGATGGTCACGCTCCATAAAGTGTTCCTGGTGCTATGAAAAATGTCTGTACGGAGTGCAGTCAAGGGACAAAGTGGAGAGTGGTCACATCAGGAAAAGTGTGTCAGGGAAAGCTTCCAGAGAGGAGCTGAGCCTGGCATTAAGTCCCCAGGCAGGGGAGGGAGGGACACTGCAGAGAGCGTGGGGCTGTGAGTGGCCCAGCACCGTCGGCAGCCTCGGTGGGGACCGGTAACCCATCCACACTCGGAGTGCCCTTCACGGGCTTGAATGAACACCTGAAATGACACCATTCACTCTTCTGCTGTTAAGCATCAACCTGACCGGTGTACTTGTAAAAACACAAACACCTGCTACTGTAGGAAACGTAGCACCTTCAGTTACAAGGTGTCCCACCGCCTGATTCAACCAGAGCCCTTGGCCTTGGGCAGAGGCTCCTGGTGCTCATGGCTCTCAGGACAGAACACAGCCCACCTCCATCCCCCACCCTTCCCCACATTACTGCCCAGCTTTAAGGGCAGAGAAGAAAAGATCCTAACTGTCCTGACCCTAGGAACAGGGTCTGATGGTCTGTGTCCTTCCCTCCCAACCTCCCAGGAGGGAGTCAGGGTGTAATCTGAGGCCCTACCGGTGATGGGCTTAGGCTGAGTGGAGGATGATAGTTTTTAAACATGCTAAATATAACGGTTGCTAAAGAAATTGGTGGTTCATAGGTAAAGAGAAGGTTTCATTGGTGCCACCCCAGAAGGTTATTGCTGCCCCATAATACTTTTCCTATTTGTGTCTGATTCTCCAGCATTAACGGTTCATTTCTCCACAGGGTGGTGGGAGGGTTGCCTGAAAATGTGTGTGTCTCCATGCCTCATGGCTATGTTGTTGAGACTGAGTTCATCTGATCACTTTTCTTGGCATCTGGAAGGTCTGGGCAGGGAGACCACTGGTGCATGGAACAGGGAGCTCCCTGGAGGGGGAAAGGCATAGACAGGGGAGTTGGGGCTTCTGGAAGACCCACTTCAGATTTTGGCCCAGGAATGGCCCTCACCTTCACTGCTGTCAGAGGCACAAACCCACTTCTGACAGGCATCAGGGTATGCCTGAGACGGCAGTTCATTTATCCATCCACCCATTCATCCATCTATCCACCCATCCAGTCAGCCATTCACCAAACCTGTATTGTGCAAGACCTTGTGGAAATATGATGAGTTAAGGTCCCTGCTCCTGCAGCCAATGCTCCTTGCACACGTCTCTCCTGTACCTTGGCTGGGTCCTCCACCTGGGACACCCTTTCCATCAGTCCATGTGTCTGAAGCCGGCATTCCCCCTTCAGCCTGCTCTTGTCCACAAGCCTTCTATGACCCCCTTCATCCCCTGGAGTCACTCTTTCCCCTCCCCATCAGTACCCACACTATGCTTCACTGCTCCTGTTTACCTCTTTCCACTGATATCTCCCTGACATGCTTTCCTGTTTGTGTTCCTCCACAGATGGATACACAGTGCTTGATTAATGCTCTGAATGAATGAATGGATGAATGGTAGGTAAGTTGTGTTCTTTGCAGGTTGAGGTCAACCCCATACAATTCCAAGCTTCCTTTATCAGCAGGTTGGGGCATTAAGAAACTCAGGGTGTTTTCCTTTTAGGTTGACAGAAGATGTAGTCATGTATTTTTTCCCCTTAAATTGTAGGGATAAGATTGTGCTCAGCCATCCACAGTATATTTCCTTCTGTGTTTGGAGTTTGCGGGGATTCAGGAGGCAGCTTCTCTGGGATCAGCCATCAGGATGCACTAGGGATCGTTATAACCATGAGACTATTGTACTTTTATGTGGTGCTTAGAGCGCCCCAAGTTTATTCACAACTGCTTCTCACGACAGCCCAATCTTGTCTTCCAGAATTAGAAATGATGGCTCAGAAAGGTTAAGCAACTTCCTCCGGGCCACCCAGCTGTGAGGGCGGAACAGGTCCCAGCTCTCCTCCTTCCCCCTTGCTCTCCCCACCCTAACCGACAGAGGGGCCCCAGAAGGACACACTCCTGCCCTGTCTCAGCAGGGGCTGGGGGGGCCATGTCCCTCATCCCCTGGCTTCGGTGGAATGAAGCCCCCCCGAGGCTGTCCTCCCGGAGGCCGGCCGACACGGTGCTGGAGACGCTCATGATGGAGCTGGCGGGGCAGATGCGAGAGGCCGAGAGGCAGCAGTGGGAGCGCGGCAATGCAGTCAGCAAGATCTGCACCGGGGTCGACTACAGCTGGCTGGCCAGCGCACCCCGGCCCACCTACGACCTGAGCCCTGGTGAGCGGCTGCAACTAGAAGACGTCTGTGCCAAGATCCACCCATCCTACTGTGGGCCCGCCATCCTCAGGTAACCCCTGCACGGGCCCGGGGCCCAGCGGGTGCACGGTAGGCTCCAGGCATGTGGCTGCAGGGGCGGGGGCCTGACGCCACCAGGACTGGAGCCAGGGCACCTGGATGACCCAGTGATCTGCAAGAGCCCACAGAACGCCAGGCCAGAGCTAGGGGTTCAGAAGGAGGCTGGAGGCAGCTCCTGGAGGCACATGACTTTTGATGGGAGAGAACCCCAGGCCTTTGAGCTTTCTGTTCTCCCTGGATTATCATTACCCTGGATTTTAACACAGCTGGCTCTTTCTCCTTCATCAGTTCATCATCTATATTACTGTCTTAGAAAGGTTTTCCAGATAATCTTACCAAAATTCAGTTTTTCATTAACGTAGGTCACACTAGCATTCATAATAATTTGCCTCAGGGGACTGTGCATGTGTGCGTGTGTGTGTGTGTGTGTGTGTGTGTGAAGTATATTCAGAGGCCTGGGGCATTGAACATGTACAGATTTAGAGCTTGGGTACCACAGTGTTCCTGAATATAAATGTAACCTTAATAAAGTTCTAACCCACATGACCCAGTCTCGGTTGGGTTCATGTTGAAGTCGAAGAAATGTAGTCCAACAACCAACAATAATTTCAAAAGTTACCCAAGTTCTTCATCTGCACTTCTCAAACACTAGTAAAGGAATACGGATCCACAATAAAACATCTGAACATCCCCCAAATCTTCAGTCACCCATCTCTGTAACCAATGTAAGCATCTATTATACCCCTTTTTTCTTGGGAATTCTCCTTAAAACTCCTTCTCCTTAAACTCCTTCTCTTTCTCCAGCCCCATCCACACCCCATTGGATTTTGTAGTCTTTTTCACCCCCTCCCTCCTTTCTTCCTCCAGGCTAAGAATCTTACCCCCTCCAGGTTCTCTTGTTCCATACTATGGAATCCCCCTAAAATGTACCTACTTCCAGAAGCACCTGGGGATGGGGGAGATGGGGGAAGTGAGTCATGGGGGTGGTGTTGACTAGAGAATCCAGGCTGGTAAACCAAACCTCATAAATGAGGGGGAGGTCGGGGACACACATATGATCATGATTGTTCCCCCACATTTCCTGTCTCACTGCGGAAAAGTGTGAGAATTCCTGACTGGCAATATGGTGGAGGAAACCATTAAGTGGACTTGCTAATAACCATCCTTCCCTTTGAGCTCTCAGCAAAGACATTTCAGGCAGAGGAAAACCTCACCCAGCAGGTAGCCAAGAGCTATGGAAGGATTATCACAGGGCAGTGATATCATCAGACATTTCGAAAAGATCCCTCTGGCCACCAGGGGGAGAAGGGTGGGAGAGGTTAGCCAGAAAGCCTCCAACAGGTAAGGCCAGGTCATGGCATTGATAATCTGGCATCGATAACCCAAGGTCAATGTCAGGATCTTTACATATGTTAGCTCATAAGCCCCACAGAATGGTAGCTATGACCCCAGTTTACAGATGAGAAAGCTGAGGCCCATAGAGGAAGTAGCAGAGCGGGGATTTGAAGTCAGCCCCGGCTGGAGCAATAAGGAGGTGCGGTGGTCTCTGATTGACGTCAGGAGTGAGGAGGTGGCGGAAAGGGGAAGTGACCACTGGGCGTGCACAGGAGGCGGTTTAGACACCTGCTCTGCGCCACACCACATGACTCACCCGCAGCACCTCTCCTGCTCTGCGCACAGGTTCCGGCAGCTGCTGGCCGAGCAGGAGCCCCAGGTGCAGGAGGTGTCCCAGCTCTTCCGCTCGGTGCTGCAGGAGGTCCTGGAGAGAATGAAGCAGGAGGAGGAGGCCCACAAGCTGACGCGGCAGTGGAGCCTGCGGCCCCGCGGCAACCTGGCGCTGGCCACCTTCAAGACCCGCGCGCGCATCTCCCCCTTCACCAGTGACATCCGGACCATCTCGGAGGACGTGGAGCGGGACATGCCGCCGCCGCTCCGGACCTGGAGCATGCCCGAGTTCCGGGTGCCCAAAGAGGACTGACCCATGCCTTCCCCTGCCCAGGAGCTGAGCCACCTGTGGGAGGGCATGATAGGCCGGTGACTGGTCCCGAGTCCTGGAACCTCCCCACCCGCCCTTGACAAGGGGCCGAAGAGGTGGCCCCATCCCAAGACATTCCTGTAAGATGGAGCAACCCCTCCGGGCCCGCACTCCCCCATCAGCTGCGAGGCTGATTGAATGAACTTTTTTTTAGGGTTAGGGCTTGGAGCAACAGCGATCCCCTCCCTCCCCCCTCCCACAAGTCAGCTGGAGCATCCCCTGTCCTGCCTTGCAGAGATTCGGGGTCTTGGCAGACAGACCCCTGCCCCATCCACATCTTCTGCTTCTGTCTGGAAGGGGAAGAGTTGCCCTGACTTTTTGCCAAGACCTGGGTTCTCTCCCTCAATTCAGGGATGTCCTATTCACCCCCTCACCCTGAGTAAGGAGGGACTTGTTGGGTAGTGTGTATTCTCTGCTGGTGACTGCTGGTGGCTGGTCTCACCACTGCAGGTAGGTCACCGCCCCCTGGACAGGCAGAGCTGAAAGGGACCACAAAAGCCAACAGGTCCATTCTCCTCACCTAGTGAAATGAATGAACTGAGGCTCAGAGAGGGTCAGATTCTTATACCTTAAATTGCAGCCAGATCCCCATGGGCCATGAGATTGTTCCTGTAGGCAAAGTCTCTTCCCTTGAGTCCTTGAGTCCTGGGCTATGGTGGGACAGGTCCAAGGGCTATGTCTCCACCTGCCTGTGGTCTGACACATCTCTGACCATGGAATTGGCATGGAGGTCTAAGGCAGCTGGGATCAGAGGTAGGATGCCCTTACCCTACACCAAGAGTATCATCATGTGGGATGTGGCCAATACCTGGCAGCTCCTTCCAGAGGTGAAGCTTCAGGGCCTTCCTCCTCACTGCTCTGGAGAGTCCAGGTCTGATTCCAGGGTCTCTTCTGTAACTGGTCACACCAAGGAAAGTGATACTGAAATCTCTAACTGGCCTCAAAGAACCAAGTGAAATGTTCTAGAAGAGCCTCTCTACCAGGCTTCACTGTCCTTCTATTTCTAATACAGTCAGCCCTTGATAATAGACATGTGGTGCTCCAATGTCTGGAAGGTCAGGTGGCTTCCCCACATACCCTGCGCTGAAGTGGGGTGCAGGGGGATGGGTGGGGAAGGTGTATGTCCCCAACTATCAGTGCATGCTCAGAAAATGCAGGTGGATCTTAATAATTAGTCTAAATAAAATGCCAGGAGATAAGTCAATGGGGAAGAAAATCCATATATTCCCTGACCAAGCTCAGTAGAAAAAAATAATTTTTTAATGATCTGGTTTGGGATTATTTTCATTCAAGTCTGGACAGAAAATCATAAGATGATGGAAAACCTCTTATCCAATACAGTCAGGATGAAGGAGTTGTCTCATTACATAATCGGTAGCAGTTGAAAAGCACTTAAATGAAAATATACACCTTAAGCTTCTTACATATTTTATGTTAAGACATAAAAAAAAAGTTCATTCAATTGCCAAGCTATGTTCATTCTTCTGTGACATGTGTGGATGGTCTGATGAGAACTCCACACTTAAGTTTTATTGGCTTGTGTGTCCTTTAGTCATACCAATAAGAACGGCTGGTGTAAACAAGTTTGGGACAAGCAGAAGTGACCCTCGGTAAGCAGACAGGTCACTTGGTAGGGGCGGAAGTGTTGGGGGGAGTTAGAATAGAATCAACTAGCTGTGAGCTTTCTGGGTACCCTGGATGGGGGTCAGGGTGTTTTTTGAGGGAATGGAGTGTCAACGTCAACCTAGTTGTGGGGTGCAGGCGGTCAGAGGAGGTCAATTGAGAGAATAACTACTCAAGAATTGGGCAGAAGATATGAGCAGACATGTCTCCAAAGAAGACATGCTCAACATCACTTGGGATCAGGGAAATACAAATAAAAACCACAATGAGATACCACCTCACACCAGTCAGAATGGCTAAAATTAACAAGTCAGGAAATGACAGATATTGGCAAGGATGTGGAGAAAGGGGAACACTCTTACGCTGTTGGTGGGAATGCAACCTGGTGCAGCCACTCTGGAAAACAGTATGGAGGTTCCTCAAGAAGTTGAAAATAGAGCCACCCTACGACCCAGCAATTGCACTACTAGGTATTTACCCCAAAGATACACATGTAGTGATCCAAAGGGGCACCTGCACCCCAATGTTTATAGCAGCAGTGTCCACAATAGCCAAACCATGGAAAGAGCCCAAATGTCCATCGACAGATGAATGGAGAAAGATGTGGTATATATACACAGTGGAATATTATTCAGCCATCAAAAAAATGAAATCTTGCCATTTGCAACCACATGGATGGAACTAGAGGGTATAATCCTAAGCGAAATAAGTCAATCAGAGAAAGACAATTATATGATCTCACTGATACGTGGAATTTAAGAAACAAAACAGGATCATAGGGGAAGAGAGGAAAAAAATAAAACAAGATGAAACCAGAGAGGGAGACAAACCACAAGAGACTCTTAATCATGAGAAACAAACTGAGGGTTGCTGGAGGGGAGGGGGGGTGGGGAAATGGGGTAACCAGGTGATGGACATTAAGGAGGACATGCGATGGAATGAGCACTGGGTATTATATAAGACTGATGAGTCACAGGCTGGTACCTCTGAAATCAATAATACATTATATGTTAATTAATTGGATTTAAATTTTAAAATGTTTAAAAAAAAAGAGAATATCTACTGTTTTCCTCCTTCCCCACCACCCTACATGAACCTACCCTCCCCAAAGAAAAGGAAGATCTGAGACTTTCAACAGCATGTTCCTTTTTAAGTTGGAGTCACTGGCCATCCATGAAAGCCTTCCCTGCCCACCTCAGTCAAGACAGACAGAACCCACCAGCCTCAGACACGGGTTGTCCTACTGCACTGAATTCCAACTGCTGACCCTCAAACCTGTGAGAAGTTGCTCCTCTGGCTGGATTCAAGTCATTAAAGGAAGTAATGATGTCAGCCTCAATTTCTATCTATAAAACTCCAGTAAGAACAGATAAAAGAACGAAACAGTTGGAGAGCCTCCCCGCAAGTGTGTGGTGGTGGCCAACTGGCCACATGGAGGGGTGGGTAGAGCCCTGTGAGGGCTGGGCAGGGCTGTCCGCCTCCCCTCCGATCAACACCGCCAGCCACTAGACGGAGCCAGTGGGGGTGGGAACGCTTGGTTACATTTTCTTTTACTTCATGGAATTTTTCTTTAAATCTTGTTATTATAAAAATTTTCAAACAGAAGAGTATAGCAAGGGCGCCTGGGTGGCTCAGTTGGTTGAGCGACTGCCTTCGGCTCAGGTCATGATCCTGGAGTCCCGGGATCGAGTCCCGCATCGGGCTCCCTGCTTGGCAGGGAGTCTGCTTCTCCCTCTCCCGCTCCCCCCTCTTGTGCTCTTTCTCTCTCTCACTCTCTCTCTCAAATAAATAAATAAAATCTTTAAAAAAAAAAAAGAAAAAAAAGAAAAGTATAGCAAAAAGTGTAAGAACCCTCTATATGCCAATCACCAAGGCTTAGTAGTTATTAACATTTTGCCAGATTTGCTTTAATCTATTTTTTGGTGAAGTCCTTTAATATAAATCCCAGACAGCATGACATCTCAGCCCTGAACCCTTCAGTATGCACTGCAAAGGAAGAAGGAAAGTTTCCTGTGTAACTCCAGTGCTGTACTATCCCTCCCAATGAAATTAACAGTAATTCCTTAATACCATCTAATATCTAGTCCATATTCAAATTTCACTAGCTATTCCCAACAAGTGACTTTTGCAGTTTTATTTCTTTGACTGAGGATCTAATCAAGCCCCGCAAATTGGCATGAAATTTGTAATTTGTTTTATACGTGGTCATATAGAGTTTATTTAATTTCACAATGAAGAATTGCTTAAATAGAAGGTATTTATGGAACATCAGTGTTAATATGCAATAAGTTAACGACAGCACATAAATGAGGATAATTCTGCAAATTAGCCTAAGGATGCTCTTTATTCAGCTCCTTGTTATTTTCATTTGATTAAAATTGTTCCACACCAACCAAGACTCTCTAATACCTTGAAAAGTAATGTTAAAAATCAGTAGTGGCAATATATCTCATTTGACTTTTCATCTGATGAAAATGCTCTCCCTGTCCGTGGGCTTTATTTTCTGAGACATGCTTGCAAATAGCAACCTAAAACCTCCTCTTTCCTTGCCATTTAGAAACAAAACACTAAAATGTATCAAAATAACTTGGCGGGGGGATCTCAAGAATTCTAGTAGTAGGTAATGAAAATAGTTTGTTTATTTTGGATGCCATTATTCAACATGTAGTGAAATCTCAGTCTGTCTTAATATTCCTATGGCTCCCCAACATAACACAATATGTTATTTCAAAATTTATTCATCGACAAATCATTTTTAGACAGTTATTTTAAATCAGTTTAACACCTCGCATCATTTGTTAAATGGGGAAATTGGCATCTGTTTCTTTTTATGAATGTTATTACATAGAGTATTAAATTAGCATTATTATATTTAGCCAGGTGCTAATCTAAAAATAAAAACATAGACTAAAAATCAGGACTTTATCGTACTCAAGGCAAAAATAACAGAATGATTTTTTAAAGCTTCTAAAAATTCCCCAGAGTTGTTATAGTCTTGAGAAAGGCCTTCATAAGCCAACAGGCGTGTTTTGGAGTGTTTTCTAGCACCTTTGATTGTGCTGCATTCCAGTTACAATTACCTTGCTGGAACAAATGCAACGTTCCTGAAGCCCTGCAGGCAAACTTGGAAGTTCTCCAGCCCCGTCTCCCCTCCCAGCTAGGATTTGGTGTGCTGAGAATTCCATTCCCAGGAACAAGCTATTCCCCTCTGTGTAGCTGAGTCCAGAGGTTCACAGCTTAGATTCAACTTCTGGCCCCTACTCCGGGCTGCGGGCCTCTGCTAGGCTCTCCCTAAGTGTCCAGGCTCCAGAACACAGGACAGAGGAGATCTAGTTGAGGTTCTCCTGTCCTTAGTAGAAAAGGAATCAAGGTGCTGGGCAAAGATACTGCTCTGAAGTGTAAAAGGGCCTGGAGAAATACATCTCTTATCCACATAGGCCAGGCCAACAATATTGCTAAGGACAGAAATGGCTCTGTCTTCAAGAAATTCCTTTATTGGGATGCCTGGGTGGCTCAGTTGGTTAAGCGTCTGCCTTCAGTGCAGGTCATGATCCCAGGGTCCTGGGACCGAGTTCCGCATCGGGCTCCTTGCTCAGTGGGGAGTCTCCTCCCTCAGCCTGACTCCCCCCTGCTTGTGCTCGCTACCTCTCTCTGACAAATAAATAAATAAAATCTTTAAAAAAAAAAAAAAGAAAAAGAAAATTCCTTTATTAACATTTGAATGGTCCTTTGCACTTGATCCACTTGATCTCCTTGTGATCTTGACCGTCAGGCAAGGCGCATTCTGTTTGGTCTCAGGTGATAAGCAAGGGGCCCGCCTAGACCTGGAAGTCAGGGCTCCTTTCACTTGTCTCACTGCTTCTCAGCGTTCCAGATAAGGATCTGGATCCCCTCTCAGAACCACACTACTAAGCCTCACCACTGTACCTCTCACACAGGGATGTAAACTTAGGTGGTGTTTCTGGTCACTCCTTCCCCCTCCGGGCCGTTCGGCTGCCTCCAATGGTCTGTGAAATCCTTCAGCGCAGGAACCAGGTCTTTCATCTCTGAGTCTCTACCTTCTGGGCACAGAGTAGGCACTTTACAAATGTGCTTAATGGATAGGTGCATGTGGACACCAACTTAGAGGGCAGGGACACAGTGGAGCTGAAGACACCACGAATGAATGAACACTGAAGCATTTAGGATTTATCCACATCATTCATTGGATTCAGTTCTACGAGGCCAGGGTCCATGTCTGATTTGAGTGTGTATCTCCCAGAATATGCCTGGCA